TTGCTTTAAGACAATTTCATTAGAAGTTGTCTTAACTCAATAAACATCGATGCAAACTGTTGCGTTGATTTTCTTTGTTGAGCCAAGGCATTTGTTTTTAGAGTGTACCAGCCGGCAGTAATGCATATTTACTGTCTTTAGCGGTCTTGCATCATCCAGCATGTGCAGCGTGTGTGAGTAAATATTCTCCCTCCCCTTGCTTACACACAGCCCTGTCTGCTGTCGTGGGCAACACAAAAACCTATTATTTACTCTGTGATTTATTTATGAATTAAGTCTTTTAACTTTTTGCTTACATCCATTTCCCAGGGAGGGAGGATGGCAGGGCTGATTAATTGTGAAGAGGGTTGCCGTGCCAATGCAGCCCAAGCACCTTTCTGCACACACACACACACACACACACACACACACACACACACACACACACACACACACACACACACACACACACACACACACACACACACATGAGTTGATGATGAACAACAGAACACATGTTGATAAGAACACAGACTGCAGGTACCCTCACATCTATACCTGATACCCTCTAGCAAGTGGTCTCCATTAGTGAACCCTTCCCCTGTGTCTTCAACAGAACCTCCTCTGCAGACCCTCTGCTCCTTCTGCTCAGCTCCACCTCTGCTCTCACACACACACTTTCAAAAGGTTTCACTCTTTACTCTCACATGTGTGTTTCACATGTGTTATCTGACTGATGTGTGTAAACACGTTGTTCTTCAAACATGGCGTCATCATTGAATTCAAGCTGTTTGTATTTTGATCAGGTGTTTTCCATTAAATGGTGAATGGTATCATTCTACAGGAGGAGGCTCCAAATACCCCGGTGGGTTTCAGGACTCTTCATATCAGCCGTGCTCCAGGCTGCCATAAGTGGAATGAAATGTAATACTGCTTGTTCATTTCTTTTGGTTCACATTACATTGATACATTTTAGGGACACAGAAAGCATAGAGAGGCAGAATGTGGAGTGAGACGGCCCCTGCTGTGAGGATGGTGGCTCTGGCCTCTCCCCTCTCACTCTTTTTAAAACTCTGAACATGGATTCTTGTGACTCTGTAAATGAGTGCTATATTTTCCTCCTTCCTCTGCGGGGTCTGTGGGACGTCCTAAGTTGTGTTTGCGCCGCGCTGCGACTATGTGAGCTATGTAGGCCAATCACAACAGGCCGTTTTACGTTGGCCTGTTGTGATTGGATAGAACATCTCACACAACAGAAGCCTGATTACGTCAATAAATGATGCTTTCTAATTGTATGCATTTTTTAAGGGAAACTTATTTGTGCTATTATTTTATTATTTAATTATTCATTTTGATAATCAAAAATAGAAATCCGGTAAACTATATTTTCTCTCAGTCAATTTTGATGAATGAGTGGGTGGGCCTATAGACCCAGTAGCCACCCACTACGCCCGGCTGCTTCATACACTGTTCATCATTTGCTATTTGGTTTATTTTTTAAATTTAACAAGAAAATGAAGAAAATTAAAAATCTAATCGATGATGTCACTGATGATGTCACTGATGGGTTTACCTGAGCAGGTGAGATTCAGCATGTGTTTAGAGGAATATGATTCTGCACACTCCCTCAGAGCAGATCCAGACTCAACACAGTCAGATCTGATCCACCCACACAGATCTCTCTGAGGACTCCTTTCTCTCTCCCACAGAAACAGCAGAGCCACAGTCCAGCTCTCTGCAGGCGACTCCTGCTGCCTTTCAGGGTCCAGAAAGAGTAAACCTCCACACTGGTCTCCATTCTCCCAGATGTTCCAGCTCCAGGTCTCCCGCACAGCGACTCTCTCCTTCCACCAGCCTAACACCAGGCTCTGCAGAGAAACAAGAGAGTCGTGTTCCTTCATTGATATTAGCATATTTTGAATCATTAATCATTTCTACTATGAATACTTCCGAGTGATAATCAGATCATTACCTCCAGCTCTCTATGACCAGTGGTGGGAAGTAATAAAGTACATATACTCAAGTACTGTAAGGTTTGAATGACTTCACTGGAGTATAATGGTTTATAATACTACATCACATGTATTCACAAAATGAAGTTTGAGGTTACTTGGCAGGTTCATATTATTAATAAAACAACACTTTAATGATGAAGTTCTGTTTCTGGATAAAGATACCTGGAAGTAGAACTAAGTCATTCAAGTTATCTCCACCTTTACCAGCTGCTACATTCAAAAGTGATGTTCACACATGAATGGGATCATTGATTAGAATCCAGACTAAGAATATTATCATTATGAGAATAGTCGTACTGTATGAGTCATATTAATGATGGGTACTTTAAGCATTAATTGATCCTAATATATTGATCTAAGTCCATTTCAATACCAGACTTGTTCTTGTTACAGTATTTGCTACACTGTGGTATCACTTCTTTTAATCAAGTATAAACATCTCCCCCCACATCTATAAACTGACAGGACCTGAAACATGAAACATATGATTCAGTCGAGCTAAAAAC